TTAGAAGGGGGGGGGGGGGGGCGCTGACAAACCAACAGGTCGGTCCACGGCCAGACTACTGTCGAATGAGTTTGCTCGAGCTGTATGCAGTCGTTTCCCAGAGGGTGGAACAGATTTGAGCGGAGGAGCAAGATGATTTGCAAATGCCACGGTGGGGAGGTTTGGGATGACTTGCAGTTGAAGCGATTAAGTGAGGTTACAATGGCCGTGATATGTTTGCAAGTGGATATGTAATGGACGTTTTGGTGGGGCAGGCGCGGGGCAAGCCACAAGCTGTACCTTCCCAGCCACGATAAGGTATCAGTCAGTAGGAAGTAGTAGGTGCGTCGTAGGAGCCGAAGCATCGATAGCTAATAAATAGGTACGTCAAGAACATCCCAGACTCGTTATGCCCTTTCCCAAATAGAGGGCATCGCGCACCACGTGGGCTGATCTGCCGCATAAATTGCAGGCTGCAAAGATCGGTCTCGTTCAGATGCTGCAGTCAAGGTCAAGATGCAAACGGATACATTGGCTCCTAGGTCCCTGAAGATGCTTTCTCAAGTGCATGGCAGTGCCGTTGATCCCAGCCTTACTACCAAGCAACATCCAACGGCACAAGGCGCGCGGCAACTGGCAGAACCATCAGCATGCATTGTTACGCAAGGCTCCGAACCAAGGACCCGGCTCCGGACTTTGAGGGGCAGCACCACAGAATTGTCTGGATCATTTGACAAAGACATTGATTGGCGCACCAAGCGTTTGTTGTTCAACATACAGAACCCATGAACAACCATTTGACTGGGAACACGACATGACGGCAACGACGGCATCGGTGCAGCGGCAGGGGCACGCCAGATTTCGCGCACATACAATGATCCATCACCTTGTTCAAGCCCGGCTGGAACAAACGCGTTCATTCCCTCCACATTACCAAAAACAAGGCATTATCCGTGTTGCAAACAGGACGAGGACGGTCGTTGTCCGTGATGGGCATGGGTGCCCAGCTGTGGATCCCCGAAAGCTGCATCTACAAGGCTAGGTTAACACCACCTGGTGGCAGACAAACGGATGGGAAGAAGCAACCAAGATCAGGCCCACAAGGTACCACCATTGTTTCCCTTCGATGCCGTACTAACACTACTTGTTGTTGTCGTCTTCCGGCAGCCGGCGCTACACTGCTGGGCACTACTTTACAATATACTCGTTGCGGTGGCCTCAGCCTCCAGCATCCACCCGCGCCTGTGCCGATCCGCAAGGCAAATTTGACCATGGTGATGCTATCGCATTGACGATAACGTTAGCTAGCTTCGACGGCGTCGCCTTCTAGCTGCCTGAAAGCTGTCATCTTGAGCATCCTTGCTACCCGATTCCTGGGTGGGACGACAACAGCGTATGCCCGAATCGTTAGGAATTACGCCGTGAGCAGACAACTGATGGCCTCTCACCGCCACATTGGGTTCTGTGTCACCGACAGTCCTCCGCATGGATGAGCTTATGGAGGTTGAAGTACCCATCTTAGCGGGCGGATGTCGTTCTCGCAGGCTGTTATGATGCCCTGTGTCAATCCGGGGGAGGGCGTGGCCATAGCACCCATCTATACCTCCTGTATTGTACCTACAATCTCGTTCGCCTATGGTGGTCGCTGGCTCAGGCCTCTAGACACCTGAACCGCCTCTGGACACCACCTAGGCCTGGGCCTAACACTCCCTTCCACACACACGCGCACACATCGCCGCGCGACAGTTCATCCCCAGGTCACTAGCCTGACATCTCTGACCTCTCGGTTGGATCCCGTCAGATCGTGCACAAGCGACCGCTGGGAACTGAGGCAGCTGGGACGTGCAAAACCCTGTCGGACTGCAAAAGTCCCGGGTTCTTCTGCGGTGCGTTGGCAGCGTTGCATGACCCGTGGCGTCGACGTTAGCTGCTCGGTGAGGTGACAGGCAAGCCTCCAAGGAAACTGTGTGTCTGGCATGAGGCTCGATTCTCGAGGCTGTGCACGGCCAACACAGAGGTTGGGTCTCCAGCGGTGGCGAGGAGACAGGGATGCACGCTGAGCTTACGAGCTTCACCAAGCCTTTATTGACACTCTTTTTGCTTCTGGCATCATTACAGGCGGTTGTTCATCTAGAGTGAGGACCCAACCGAGCCCCGTTGTTTCCAACATCCCATCTCCAGCCACCACGCGAGACGAGTATTCTACCTGCCGAAGCCGACGTCATTGAGGCTTCGACTACCCACGCCGTCCAGAATGCGATTGGTGCTCATTGCCAGCAGCAAAGCCGCAACAAGGATGATTTGACGGGCTACCAATTCCTCCTGGCGAGGGTTGGGAGTGGCGAACACCCACATGCACCATAGCTCACTTGACCTTGCCCAACCAAAACCATGTGTGTCTAAACTGGGCGATGAACGAAGTTCTAAGTTCTGGATAGAATATGGCACATTTACAGCCCTGATACGATGGGCCTGGAGCCGAGCCCTCAAGACATGGTCCGAATCCGATCAGCCTCACTGAGCTGCGACAACAAATGATGACTCGAAGCCGCGCGGGGGCTACTATCTTCGCCAGAAACGGAAGGCCGTCATCGCTCGTGATCTCTGATAGCCCAAGTCAGGTATCAGAATTAACTGCCGTAGCCACATAACTGCGACATCGGCAGGAATCTCGCAAGAGTTGTGAAACGACGACGTTGAAGGTTGCACACAGCCATGACACGGTGAGCATGTGTTCGAACAACCACCTAACATCTGAGTGCACACATGGAGTGGCCTGGACAGCCTCGCCCAGAACATTGCAATCCTGTGGCTTTCGGAGCGCGGCCTGATAACGGGCGCGGCGACATGCTGCAGCCTTGAAATAACGAGAGGCTCTCCTTGTCGGCACACCCCTTCAATGAAGTATGACGTTGGGTTTCGCGTGTTGGAGGATTCGGCTGCTTCTCAGGCTGATGAGTAATTTTGGGTAGCATTGAGCTGGGCATGTCCCGTCACGTCTCATGAAGGCTAATCTTAGAGATGGTAGAGATACGGAGTATGAGGGACAGCAAGGACAGGGTAAGCATGGCAGGCCGAATGAGTTTTCCTTTGTCTATCCTTTTTCTCCATCCCATGTGGCATCATCACTTTGCTTCTCCAGCTGTTTCAGCGCCTTCAATACCTTCACTCGACCTCCACTGTCGCCCCGAAAATTCAACACGCACACGCCGGAGCCCCGACCACTTCGGGACAGCTGATGTCAGGCACCGACAAAGTACAATGAACCGGTCAACCTAACCATGTGCACATGGCTGGAGCAAGGACTGCGACGACGACGACGACGACCTGACCACGCCTCTGGAGCCGGTGTAGGGCCCAAAGGTGGTGTGCGGCGACTCGCTCTCACAGGCCCAGCACAGTCCCCCGTTCGCACCCGGAGCTAGCATGTCCTAGCAAAGACCGACGATCATGGTTCATGGCAGTTTCGCGAAGCATCCTTCAGCGCTTCTTCTGTCATTCACCAGCACCAGCACCAACGCCCGAGAGGGCTCAGCCCACCCAGCGCACGCCGCCCTTACCTTGTTGTCCTGAGAAGATGTCCAGCACGAGACGAGCAAGAGAAAAAATTTACCGCCCTGGTCCTGGGAATGAGTCTGTTGGCTTGGACTAGCAAAAAAAGGCTTGACCGCCAGTTCATTGCCAGCCACCCCGCCAATCCGCGCCGACTCTAAACAGGTGATCCTCCTTGCGACTGAAAGTCGAGAGGGAACGAGGAACACGACGGCAAAGATGACGAGGTCCGCACAAGTACGGACGGGCGCAGACGCAGCAACAAGACCACCACCAGTGTCAGGCCAGGCCAAGTAAGCCATGGCCAGAAGAGCATCAGGATCGTCTAACCTTCCTGGTGCTTCCCGAGAGCCGTTGTCTCTTGTTGCCCAGCAATGGCCCTCTGTTGGTTTGTTCCCTCGAAGTCGAGACAAGCCTCATTCTCGATCCAACCTACCACATCCACCACAGACTCTACCGGCTCCTTATGACTCCCCGGGCCAGAGTTCCCCCTTTGGCGTCGTGTTGCCATGCTGCCTTGCAACGAACAGAAAAAACATGCCGCACAGACGCCGCAGTTTGACCTCGAACCGAGAAAGCATAACCCCCCTAATTTCATCAAACCCCAGCAACACACACAGACACACGGACAAAGCATCAGAAAGGAATTGCTGTCTCCTGCGTGACCTGGGGCCCTCGACAGCCTCGTTCGATCCTGTGGCCCACCGCGGGCTCCGGCGCGCAGCAGGGCCCGCTGGTGCAGCCCAGTCTAGTCTGATGACAGCTGCCCACCCAGACAAAGCTGGCGGGCCCCAGGCGAGGTCCGGAGAAAGACAACGCCAGGTCTTGGTGGAGGGCGGCCGAGCGCAATGTACAGTACGCATCTCAAGCAGAGAGACAGAAGCAACAATGCAGATTCCCAGCCTCTCTATGCGGGAAGTTGTCCGGCCAGTCAGCCGTCTGTTCGCAACGCAGAGTCGATTTCTTTTGTCCCACCGCGTAACCTCAATCAATCGACTGTCTAACACGGTACTTCTTGCGCGTGCGTCCATCACTCAACGTGCAGCAAGCTAGCCCGCAGCACACAGGGCTCAACGTGCAGCACATCAGACGCAAGTGCAAGTGTCCCCCCCCTTCGAGCCCCTCTCCGGCAATGCTTCCTCCAAACTGGTATCCCCGAGGATCCGCACCAGCATCCTGACTTGCTGCCCTTTGCTTGCGGTTTCAGAGTCTTTTCCTGCCATGCAACCTCGCGACAGTCACCGCATTCTGCCATCTCCACGCTTGCGCCGCCCTAAAGCTGGCTCCGATGTGCCCCAGCGGCCCCCAATGCCCGAACCTCTTCATACCCTGCGATCGCAGTGCGCCACACTGCCTTGTCAAACCTTCTTGACGTCCTCGTCTTAATCCACGAGTTTGGGTGAGCCTTGCGACTGTCCAGCCACTCATTGATAGGCCTTGTGTCCACGATCCTGTCATGCTCAAATCCACACATCCCGTCGCAAAAGAGCCAACCTTTGAGGCAAGCCGAGGAGGAAGAGGACACGACGCAGAACGTTGGATCCTCTGCCGTGCGTCATTAACCCGCATCTCGCCTTCTTGATGTTTTAGCGTGTTGGACGAGCAGCAGATCGTGGATGTGAAAGTGGGCATGTTCGGTCCAGGAGGTCATGCATGAATTCGTGGCCATGCCATCATGTCGGCTAACCCCCAAGTCAACCATCTCACCCCCCTCCCGGATCTGCTGCCCAGCGGAACTCACCAGCATGGCGGCTGGTCAGGTTGCGTGGGACGTCGATGAACAGAACAGGGTTCGCCAACACAGCAGACACAGCACGAGGGTGCGGCACCAAGAGCATCAACAAGCAGACATCCATATCCACACACACACAGGGGGGGAGGGGTGGGAATGCAGGGGGCGTGTGGTCCTCGGGAGAAGCCTGTGCGCAAGCGCCTGAAAAGGGGGGCGTGGTGGTCTTTCACACATGTGCCCTCCTCAACCGCTCGCCTGGTGATCCATGTCGCCTTTTCAGAGCCACGACCTAGGCGAGAAAACACTTGTTGAGCCTTTGACAGATGCATCATTACTCGTCAGGTTGTCGCTCTTCAGGTTCTTCAACACGCCGCCCGCCCGCGCCGGCCACTGCACTGCCAGCCCAACACACGTACCCAAACAGCCGCCCCGTCCCTATATGAACTCAACTTATACATTTGGCTAGGCCCTGCGCGTCTGCTTGTTGACCTGATCAGGCGGCTGCTGATCCGGACGCTGTTCACATACGCAGAGCCCAGCAGACGGACCCCCCTTCTTCTCCACAGCCCATCCATCTCTTGTTAACCTGGCCTCTCTGTTCCTTTTCCCACACCCCCTTACAACCCCCATCCTGCTGCTTGCTTGCTTGCTTGCTTGCTTGCCTGCCTTCCTGCCTGCCCTGTCTGTCTGGTTCTCAACCCCCTGTGCCCTGCACCTGGCTCGCGCGCCCCCCGTCAACACAACCTGGTACTTCTCTCTCTATGAGTTGCCCTGCCCTTCGCCTCCTCCCGTTCCTTCTTTCGACGATTCCGCTTCCGAGAGCGAGGTAGGGGTCACAGAGAGAAAGAGGGTCGTCTGTCACTTGTGCTAAACAGACCCCAGTTCTCGAATCTCATCCCCACACTTAACCCCAGCTGATATCCTCACTTCCTTCTTAAAACCAATCAACCGATCTTCCTGGCTACC